TGTGTCTATGTCTGGAAAGACAACAGGTTCCAACTCCTCTCTGCTTTGCAGCACCATCTTGAGATGAGAGAAGGCAGCTGTAGATCAGTCTCTTGATCTACTCATACTATAATTAGATGCACCTTTTTGAACTGAAATATAAGCTGTTCTGTTCCCTTTTTAATTAGATGTCTGCCTTCCATCAGAACTTCTCTTTAAGATATTTTTATTAAACAATTCAAACGAACCACAAATAAAAAAATACTGTTATTACAGTACAGGTTTTATGTCCAGACGAACAAAATAAAAGTAATAAAATAAGACCTCTTTTTATCTGAAGAACAAGCAGTAGCAATGTTGCTAAAATGTGTATTTCTTAGTCACAGGATCAGTTTAGAATGCTGCTATCTTCCAAAAATAAATCCTGCAGACGCTGCAGAGAAAAGTAGTTTTCTTTGCCATTTTTGTTAGCATCATCGGGAAGCTCCACATTTTTAATTAGATGTTATGAATCAAAAGGAAATAATCCCTCATATCTTTATAGTCAGAAGCCATTTGACTTCTTGCCATTTACAACTGTGTATTTTTTTTAATCTCTCTCCACAACCAGTAAGCAGCCTGGTATCTGCATATCCTGTGGTATCTGCAAAAGAACAACAAAAACGGTTTAATTTCCGTTGTATTACATAAATAGTATTTTATTCCCATCCTTCAGGACAGGGACATGGCATTTGACAGAAGAGTATTCTGTCAGGCCATCATAGATCCTAAAATCTGGTTGAACAAGGAGAGACATGCCAGGACAGAAGAATGTCTACTACTGTACATATTATCCTGTACTTGTACTCCTGTCCTGGTCCTCTGTGAATCAGCAATATGCTAAATACATTTGTAAGCTCTTATTACTAGTTTTTCTGCACCAAAAGAGAAACTGCTAAGAGACATAAAGATTAAAACTGCACGCTTAGTTATTTTCAAAAACAGCATTATTTGGGTTCATTATGTTGTTTTGTTTTGTTATGTTATTAAGAGATTTTTAGTTTAAAATACTTCTGATTTAACACCAGTTATGTTGTGGATTTACTTGGCTTTTCAGCGTCATCTCTTCAATCTACCTGGACCTACTTGGTCTCACTTTTTTGGCCTCCCTGGACCCCTCCAGTGTCAAGACTTCAGCCTCCTTTGAACTCTTTAAAATCCCCTTTTCAGATTCTTTGGATTTATCCAGTCTGAGCTCTTCATCCTCTGTGGACTTCTCCAGTCTCACTTCTTCATCTTCTCTGGACCTTTCAAGTCTCACATCTTCAGCCTCTTCAGACTTCTCCAGTACCTCCTCTTCAATCTCCTTAGAGCTCTCCAGTCTGACCTCTTCAGATTCCTGGGAGCACTCCAGTTTCACATCTTCGATTTCACTGGACCTATCAAGTTTCACTTCCTCAGGCTCTCTGGATCTCTCTGGTGACAGTTCTTCAGTCTCCTTAGATCTCTCAAGTCTCACATCTACACCCTCCCCAGAGTTCTCCAGTCCTACTTCTTCACCCTCTCCAGACCTCTCCAGCCTCACTTCTTCATCTTCCCTAGATGTTTCCAGTCACACCTCAGCTTCCTTGGACTTCTCCTGTACAATCCCTCCATCGCCACTAGGTGTCTCAGGGCACACCTCCTCAACCTCTTCAGACTCGCTAGATCTCACCGATTTTACCTGTTACGTGTTTAAGGGCTCCTCTGAATTATCCTCATCGACCTCTGAGGATGTTTCAGATCCCATCTCTACGCCCTTTCTGGATGTCACCAATCTCACTTTTCAGGATGCTTCCCTCACTTCCTCAGTTTCTTTGGACATTTCTAATCTCACATCTTTAGTTCCCCCAGATGTATCCACTCTCACATTTCTGGATGTTGCTAATCACACCACTTCAGCTTCTCTCGATCTCTGCATCTAACCCTCTTAACATATCTCTCCTTCTCTCTGCAACCTCTCTGTATCTTTCTAAACTTTCCTCCTTTATGCGCTCTTTTCTAAGTTCTGTCTCTGAAAGTTCTTATCTGAGGAAAGTTCAGGCTTTACAAATATTTCCTAGTATCTAAACAGAACTGGGCATGAAAACAGATCATTCAGATCTACAATGGTGCCTTGTTTACAGCTGCATAAATATCAATATATTTTCTGGGATTTTTGTAGAGCACAATTTCTGTCACTAATCTAATTTCCATCCTGTCTCAGCATGGTTCCTCTCCCAAAAGTTTAACTTTTTAAATTCATACTGAATTTTCATCTGTCAAGATCAACAAATAGTAAATAGAGCTAAACGTGCAAATAATTGCATCCAAGTTGTGTATCTCCATTATGGCTTTAAATCTGACTGCATTGCACAGAAGTGCAGGCAGAGACATTTCACATACAGGTACAGAAAGAGTTGTGGTGGGAACAGAAAACTGAGGAAAAAAAAAGAGCGAGTGGATAGGAAGAGGAATCAGAGAAGGTGTGGGGTGGCAATAGAGGGACATGTAGCTGGAAGAAAGATGTCCAACTCTGCTAGCATAATTGTTTCTCTGCCGAGCCATATTTGTGGCCTGGGCTACCCATGAGGCTTAAAGTAATCTTACTGATAATAATTTTACCCATAAACTCATCAGATGTTACCATTAAAACAGCACTTGTATATAACATCTCCTTTACGAACACACATAAGTAGAGCAGTTACTTGTGTAGCATCAAAAATGTTGCATACGTAGCTGAGGGGCTTCCTTAAATCTTTGGTGCTTTCTTGTATCTTTTTGTTATAATTGTTACAGCTGGGCTTTAGAAAACAAGTAGGTTTTGTTTCAATATCACATCACTGCCACTCTTTCTGTGTTAAAAGCGCTGTCATAACAAATGTTTTTTTAATTGATTTAATTTTTACACGTTGGAAAGCTTTGCTCCAATATGTCATGTCCATCTCAAAATTAGGATAAAAATGGCTCACACAAAAAATAAAGAAGGAAATAAACACATTAAATAAGCATTATTTTCTGCCTCATTTATACTAGTTATTTCTTTAAGATTAAGTAGGAAAAATTGCAATGCATGGATTTTTAAAATAAACCCTACACTCAATAAAGTTGTTTGGCAGTTATTAAAAAAATAATAAAAAACACAAATCCTTGGTCCAGAAGGAAGGAAGTAATGTGATGTAACACACTGAAGTGTCCACTTTCAAAAATGTCATCAAAAGTGGCACTAACTAGGGTCTTCTTCAGTAATCTCAGTAGAGATATTAAGCAGGCAAATTAAGGACAGGGAATTATTTCCATCTTCCCACTC